CCTGTCTACAGTTTAGACAGTGTGATGTCAGCGGTCAAGGCAAAGGGCAGTTTATAGCCCAGTGGTCAGCTCTGCCACATTTAAAGCAAGCTCAGGTGTTGGTTCTTCTATGCCCATCATCTTTGGAGGTGATTAGGGTGCTGTCAGGAGCTGATGTGCCTGTCTGTCACAAAAGCTTTTTTTATTGAGGCATTTTAAATGCCATGTTCTGCAGCTCTCTGAAGTGTTTGAGGGCTACCTGTGTATCTATATAGATGACTGCCAACCTGCATTTCTTAATTGTCCTTAACAGTTTACAAAGGTAGCTTTTATAAGACTCAGACTTTAGGTTCAGCCCTTAAAAGTCATCATTTTGAGTTGACACTCTTGTAGTAATAAAACTTTTAATCATAAATGCCATCCATAGAGAGACTTACTGATCCTTTCATAGTGCACCATCCAGGCCGCTATAGTTTTCTGTGTGACTTGGTTTATCTAAACAGTTAAGGCTTAAAAGACAAAGAGGCTAGACAGACATTACTGTGACCCGAGTAGACTTTAGGAGTTTATAAATCTTGATTAAAGACAAAGAATCTAGATAAATATACCTCATTTGTCAAACGTGTTACCCAAATTTTCTGTGTGTTCGGTGTTTTGCAATTAGCAAAGACAGAAGTAGTTAGACATGCGTCGTAAATTAGCTTTTGTTAATCTGAGTAGATCTTCATAACCTTAAGATTTCATTGTCAATATAGAGTATATTCTAAGCCACAGTTGAGTCACACATACGGTATATTGTAGTAAATATGACCTTACATTTCTATCAGCACATGAAAGTCCATGTTGTTGCTTAGTCTAAAAGGAGATACAGTTAATAAACAGAGAGTTCATTAAAGCTAAGGAGGAGCTTTATGTCTGTTGCTTTATACCCTGTGGTTATTTTGCAAGTCATGTGGCCACCTACACCCCTGTGGTCACTAGCCACGATGAACGGGAGCCACATGGTTGCTATTTGAAAACTTTTTAAAAGCAGATATATGTATATATCAAATGAGTTGCATCCAAGTTACAATGCACATACACCCGAAGCAAGAGTTCGGTCATTACATATACATGGATACCATGTACAGATTTTAATTATAGGCTTTTTGTTAAAAGTTTAAAGCCAAATTTTGTTGCAGAGTATATAGATTTTAAACCATACCCAGTGAAAACTTACAAATTCTTACAAAAGAGTTTATGGCATAATATTAGGAAATTACTTTTTGATAGTATAGAATGCAAATAAATCAGATAAAGGAGTGGGGAAGTAGAACCTTGGACATGGAGACAGAGAGAGAGAAGGAGAGAGGGAGACAGACAGACAGACAGATATCTGGGGTGGCTGAGGGCCCTTTTATCTGCTGTACACACCTGGCAACATCTGGCAGTGGCAGGTGAAGACTTGAGCAGCTGCTAGGTCCCCGAGAGCAGGCCAGTGGTATTGCCTGTACAGTAACATCCCTCCCTCTTTGCTTAATTAAAAATGAGGAACTAGGAAAGGGTGATGGTGGGGCAGGAATGAGGCGCTGAGTTCTTTAGGCGGCTTTCTGCTGTCTGGGGTTGACAACATCTTTGGGGCCCTTAAAATTAGGACGCTAGCCAAGAATTGGGAGAGCTGGCAGTTTCCGTGGGAACCTCTAAGGCCTAGCTTAAGCAGGCTGTAAGGCTGGATCACTGAGGCTAGCCACTTTGAAATTGTACTGGATGCAGACTGAGGAAACGCCTGGACCTGGCAGGATGCGATAGCCCAGCATCTCATCGTCTGTCTCTCTGTCCTCGACGGTGAATTTCATCAGGGCCACTTTAACTTCGCTGGTGTCTGGTCATTTTGTTCTAAAAACACACAATCTTTTGAAAATCTAATCTTTATTAACTTTGAAGGAATCCAATACTTGTCATTTCCTGTGGAAATAAAGGCGTAACCTCTTCCCTAATACAACACATTTCCTGATTTCCATTCTGAGGTAACACATTCTTAAAGAATGTAGACTGATCAAATCCAGTGCTTTTCAGCAGCTTTGCTACCCATCTCGCTGGCATTTAAAAATGTTAAAGTTAGCCGGATGTGGGGGTACATGCCTGTAATCCCAGAGGAGGCAGAGGCAGGTGGATCTCTGTGAGTTCGAGGCCAGCCTGGTCTACAGAGGGAGTCCAGGACAGTCAAGGCTAGACAGAGAAACCCTGTCTCAAAAAAAAAAAAAAAATACTAAAGTTAATAAAGGATTATGAAATCTGTTTCTGGGAGATCTGTTTTGTGAGCATCTTCTTTAATGTGTGGTTTGATCTTTCCACAATGGCTTGACCTGTAGGATTGTATAGTATATTTTATGTTATAATACGTAAACAGTTGTTTCATTTTCCTGCATACATATGCCCGGACATTATCAGCTTTAATTTGTAGTTTGTAATTTGGCTTATAAGGATTGACAGATGCCTTTCACCATGATAGCTATCACGTTCATTAAATGTGTAATTATAGACATGATCATCCCTGTCACAGGGCAAGACACCCACCAAATCGCTTTCCCCCCTTGCTCGGCAAGCCTGCCTTTGGTGACTGCCCCAAACAGCTTAAACGAATGACAACCAGCAGGCTTTGTGTTGGTAGCACTTGCTGCCAAGAACACTTAATCCCCGAATTCCCACAGAGGTAAGTGGGGTGGGAATTGAAGCCTCCGTGTTTCCTAGCCAGAAGTGACTTGGGACAAAGCCAGGACTCCCCACTCCGGGACAGTAGCTGCCGATTCTCAGGATGGGCAGTGTGGAAAGACCCAAGGGCTGACGGCAGCATGTCGAGATTCCTCTCCCCTCTCCCCTCTGGCTGACCTGGAGAGAGCCCCTGGAGGCCCCCAGGGAGGAAGGGCAGTTCGGGGTGCATCATGGGAATATCCCAGCTGGGTGCTGGAACCCTCAGAGCTTCTCCCTTCAGCTGGGAAAATGATGGAGCACGTCTTGCAGGCTGCATGGAGGGCCGTCGTGAGGGTGAGGTAAAGGAGGGAGACAGCTTTCAGTGTTCTGGAGTGTTGGGGTGTTAGGATCATGAGGGAACTTGGAGGTGAAGCCCTGGATTCCGTCATCCCCAGTACTGCAAACATTTAAAGAGGCCCTGCCTACTGCAGCATGGCCCTTGAATACCACCCTGCTGCCTTTCCCTCCCCCAGTGGCCTCAGTCCCATAGCAGACCATAAGCTGCACCCTCCTAAAGAGTTCAGGCTGCATGAGGACTCCAGGAGAAGAAAGAGGCAGGGCCCGCCCAGGATCCTGAGGCCCTAGAGAGGGAGACAGGGTGGGGTGGGGCGTGGGGGGATGGTGCCAGAGAGCACACAGAGCTTCCATCAGGGAGTTTTCTGGAATTTTCCATCCTTAATGCACACATGGGAAAGGCCTGTTAATGAGGCCCACCTGTGGGTTCTAATCAAGTGGATGGGTCTGTGTAACCACCAGCCAGACCAGAACTCGTCGCCCCTAGGGAGCCCACCATCCCCATTCTAATACCAGACATTAATTTTATTACCTGTGTAGAATCTTAAGTGGAAGCAAACAGCTCATGCCTCTGTTTTAAGACAGAGTGGCATGTATCTCCACTGGCCTCAAGCTCACGATGTAGTCAAGCCCGGCCGTGGAACCCTGCCTGTCCTGCCTCCCCCTTCCAAGTTCTGGGATCATGGGCATGTACCACCATGCCTGATCTAGAGTTGATCCTTTTGGGTCAGGCTTCTTCCGCTGAGTATTGAATGTTGAGGTCCTCCCGCTGATGGGAGTTGGCTGCAGCTTGCTCATTCCCTTTGCCACAGATAAAATGCTGTCGTGGCGCTTGGTGGCAACTTACCGCTTCTGATGCGCCCTGGGGTCCAGCGTGGGGTGTGTTCTGTTCTGATGTTCATCTCTTGGAAATAGAGTCGGGAGAAGAATGACTGTGCCACAGGCGCGTGTGTGTCCCCGTGGGTTGTTGGATGGATGTCGTCAGGTAGGATTTAAGCGAGTTCTTAGGAAGAACTTCCAGTCCCTGAAGGTTATGGTCAACCGGCTCCTACCGTCAGAGGAGGAAGCCATGAAACTTCCTTCTGAGAACAGGAGGAAAGGGCTCGATTCCAGGCTGAGTGGCCTGGGGCCAGGCCCTGACTCCTTCCTGTCTGGCATCGGTCCCTTCCCAGTCTAGGTTCCCAGACTTCCCGGCAGGGTCCCAGCCACTTGGGGAGGGAATGAGACAGGGGCCCTTGAGCGTCACCTCCCTGCTTGAGCCAGTGTGTGCCACACGTGACGTTGCTTCTGAGAACAGTAGGCTTTTTGAAAAGCTCAGCTGTTGATGGGGTGCTTGCCTAGCATGCCCAGCCTGGGTTCCGCTGGGTTCTCCCTCACTGTTGATGGGGAGGCAAGATCAGAAGTCCCAGGTCATCTTCGGCTACATACTGAGTTCATGGGCTACTTGGGACCCTGTCTCGAAAAGGGGGGGAAAGTGGGAAGGAGTAAGGCCTTGTCCGTTCAGGAACAGCTATGGGCCTCTTCAGCCTTTCCAAGTTCATGTAAGGGTTTCTGTATGGAGAGTCATACCAGGCTGTGGAGGAAGAGCTTATCTCAGAACCACGTTTAGGCGGCTCATCAGAGTGCCTTGTCCGCTCACCTGCCTGTGCTCCGGGCCCTCTCACACGCTTCTCCACTGACTGTTCCTGGGAGGCATCCCTCGAGGTTGTTTGCATTCCACATGGCCCCCAGATCCCCCGGGAGTGGGTGATGTGTGGAGGATGGTGGCCTCCTGTTTTGTGACTCCCAGCCTGGTTTGGGCCTGTAGTTTATCCTCTTGGTGAGAGAGTAAGAGGACCAGTCCAGAGCCCTGATTCTGCCTTGGCTTGTGGACCTGAGTCAACAGTCCTGATAAACAGCCTGTTTCCCGGGGCTGACGGAACAAAGCCCATAGCTGCTGCTGAGGGATCTGTCTGCCCACCCCCTCTTCCTGAAACAGCTGTTTATTCTTTTGACAGGAGCTGGAACACTGCACCTTCCTTTCCTCTGAGCTCTGCCTCCTTCAGCAGGCCGGAGCTCAGCAGAACGCTGTTGCCTTGCTGTTTGCTCTGGAGGGAACACAGCAGACAATGAGGTATGTGATTGTTCAAGGGATCTGTGTCTTCCTGCCTTGGGTCACCAGGAGCTACTTTTAGGCCACCAGATGGTCCCCCTGAGACAGGATCCTTGCTCTCTCCCTGACCTTTTCTTGGTTCCTTCTGTAGTTTTGTTGTCCTTTCCCAGTGGCTCTGGAAGCAGGGCTGGTAGAATGCTGGCTTGGGGACTTCGGCATTCCACGTCTCTTGGCAGGGCCCAGGGCCGTGCCAGTCAAGGCTGCAGCCTGGGGTTCTCTGTGTAGGGTTCAAGTTGACAGTTGAGTCTTGGACAGGGCATGGTGGGAGGGTGCAGAGCTTCCTCAGGACAGCCCAGCATGTTTCTGCTGCAAAAAATGTTTTGATGGGTGATTCCTGAGGCAGCCAGGGAAAATGGTGGCTGGGTCCCAGCTGTGGGTTTCCTGAAGGAGTCTTAGGCAGAGGCTGTGAGGTGCACCTCAGAATAGGTTTCCTGGCTGTGATGGTGTGTGATGGCTGGGGTGACGTTTGACTGTGGATTTGATCAGGGACCTGGCTTTTACTTTCCTGAATCTGTTTATTCTGACACTATTGTTATTGATAGTCTGTGTGTGTGTGTGTGTGTGTGTGTGTGTGTGTGTGTGTGTGTGTGT